ATTTTATTTAAAAAATACTAAATACAATTAAATTTTCCAGGCAAATTTGCCTGGAATACAGTTTAAGGGATAATATATTTATAATCTACTTTTTTTAATTTTTAATATATTTAAATAAATTTTTTTTAATAATATTTAAAAATAATAATTACAACTCTCTTTGATAATTACTTAAACCAACTATTTCTAATCAACTTAAGTTAAAAATTTGAAGTTTAATGTCTAAAACTACCCAAGTTTCTTCTTTCTGTTACTATTAATGAAGTCTTTAATATAATATATCAAGGAGCAAGCATTAAAGAAACAGTTTGTAGGTTAGATCAAACCTTTTCTTATATTTAGTAAACTCTCCCTTATATTCGATATCCAAGTTAGAAGGGTTATTCTAGTAGCAATTAAATAAAAGAGAAACTTTGGATAGTAAGAAAAAAAAACAAAAAACAACTTAAAAAACATTCACTATAGCTGCTAAACCTCACAAAACCTCTATATTTTCTTGGCACTTTTTTTTTTAAAATTTTTGATAAAAGTGAAAGATTTGGCTACCCTTTCAAAAAAATCAGCAAGAGATTAGCATTGTTTACTACTTCTATTTTCAGAAAGTCTCGAATTGCAATATAATAAATAAGGAAAACAATAAAATATATATAAAGAGAAAGTTTTGAAGCTAAAATTAAAACTGACAATCACACATCAAGACTTTGAGGTCAAATATTCTAAGATCCAATCTAGATTTTATATAAGAACTGTAACTAAAATATTTTAGAAGATAGATAATATTTCAAAGTTATATACATATAATTTTTAGCTTTTGGCACAGATTAAAATGCATCTTAGTTTGTTTTTATATCAGATAGCTCTATATATAAATTTCTACAGCTATATAAATAGTTTTTTATCTGGTTAGCAAGTTTTTATATTTGTAGACAAGTTCTTTTAAATTTTAGAATAGTTTTTTAATTCCTTTATAATTTGATTGTTTTTATTATCTGTTTGTTTTTCTGCTTACCTCTTTCTCGTTCTATACTTATTTTTTTTTCTTTTTTTACTTCTCTATGAAAAAGTATTATTAGATTGGCTATACTCTATTGTAGAGCAGTAATTCTAACAAGGGTGGTAAAAACCATCTGTTGATATTAAGACTCAGATCCTTAGAAAGTTGAGGATTATGATAGAGAAAATTATTTAATTAGACAGATTAGTGATCCTAGCTGAAATTAAAAAAATTAGCTAAGCTGATTTTTTGATCTGATTAGTCAATTTTTTCTAAAATTAGCTAGCTGATTTTATAAGTAAAGTCTTTTTAATGTGAATATGAATACAAAAATAAATGAAATACTGTTTAAAAAAAATAAAAAGTCTAATTTCAAAATAGCAGAGTTTTTTTTTATTGCCTTACATTGTTTAGTACATTAAAAGTACATCAAGCATAACTCAGATCTGTAATGGAAGCTTTCTGCATTATGAATACAAATTAAAATTTTTAATATTATATAATTAAAAATTCGCAATGCAAAAAAACTCTTATTCAGATCTGAGTTACATTCAATACACTTTTGATACATTAAAGAAAATTGAAAAAGATCTTTGCTATTTCAAACACTATTATAGCAATTAATAGAAGTTAAGCAGATGGCTATTGAGGTATAATTTATGTTGTGTGTATTTAATTTTCTTAAAGAACACTTTTAATATAATTGTTTTTTTACTCAATAGCAAAAAGTCTTATATTGTTTCAATTTATTAATAGATAAGAATTTATTTATTTTAAAAAAAAATATTATTTTAAATCAGAATAAAGATTAAAACAGTGTTGGTTTTCTTTTAGAAAAAGCAAATCATGAACTGTATTAGGATGAAGATGGTTTCTTTTTTCAGTAATGATATTTCTGGCATCAGAAAACAAACACTCAGATAGAACTAAAGTTCCAGGAATAGATAAAGATCATTATGCTTGATATGCCATTAAAGAAAGAGTTGGTTTATTATTATGCCAAAAGATTAATGGGTTATGATTTTCATAAAGAGGATCAGAAAGATTATACTTAACTATTTTAGGCATGTCGAAGTAAATTTTGAGTTCTATTTCAACAGAACACAATTGGTGAGAGGTTTCTTCAAATAGTGATCTTAATAGAAAAGTAGATGAATTATTGTCAAATAAATATTTAAATAAATAATTCTTATTCTTTATATCTTTATTCATTCAGTGTCGCAATTTAATTTTTGTTGACTTAAATTTTTTCGATTCAAAATTTAGGTCTTTAAACCTTGAATCTAATATAGCTGCAATATATCCTTCCTGTCCTAGTTCTTCCCAATATTCATCAAATGACAACTCAATCTTATTATGCACTTTATAAACAATTGAATATGTAAGAGTTTCTTCTTTTTGAAAGAGGTGTTCTTATAAGATCTTAATTAGCAGCAGCATTATTGAAAGTGTAGAGTAATAGTCTCTACCTACTATAGTTATAATATATGCAAATAGACGACCGATATTACCAACCCATTTTTCGATTTCCTTTTTTTAGAAAGTATTTAAAACACAGCAATTAAATTAATGTTAGGGTTAGTTTGAGGAGGCAAGTATTATAAGTAAAATTACTTTCTCGACAATTTTAATTAGTGCTTCAAGATAGGTTTAGATACTCGTTTTTAATATTTTTAGTTTTTTTTCTTTTTTTTGCTTCGTAAAAATTTACAATGTGATTGGCTAATTTATGCAGATCTTTCAAAAAAAGAAATTGAAAAATAGGTTGGTAATATTGGTCCAAATAGATCCAACAATTTAACCAACTTCTGAATTCCTAATAAATTGTCATCATCAAGAAGCAACTTTTCAAGTATTTAGCACAATTTTTAACATCAGTCTTCTTATCTTTCACAAGATCTTTTTGTAGTTTTTTATTGTTTTGTAAAGTGCAAATAGCTAATTTAGTAAAAGATATGTCAAATTCTATCTGATTGCAATATCATTTAAAATTAAATTCAAGACTGAAATATCATTATTATTAATTAGTAGATTTTTGGTTTTAGCTATTTTAAGTTGTATTGATCATAATTTTTATTTATATTTGTTTCTTTTAGCAATAAATATATTTAGATTTTTTGTATGATTTATAAAATCAGTTGCATACTTTAAACCATCAGTAATTCTGAGTTAAATAGTGAAGACTGTATATCAAATATATAAGATTCTAATATCTCTTAATGCTTTTATCATTGAGCTAGAATTGTCAGTTACTCTTACTATACATTTGTCACTTAAATCTCATTTAGTTAACTCTCTTATCAAACAATCTTCAATATGTTCTGTTGTATATGAATATAAAAAACTTTTGATCGAGTATAGGGAAAACTCGCATTCAATAAACTCCAAATATGTTGTTATACAAACTATTTATATAGGCAATTAAAAATCTAATATATGATTGTAGTTTAAGAACTGGCAATTTCACGATCTATTTATCTGTAAAAAGTTAAACTTAAGGTACCTATGTTGATTAGTATAATTTCTTCATTTTGGGTGTCTCTAACAAAAGGTCTTTTTTAATCATTTTTAATTGCTTTCCCTACAGAGTTTACATAAGAATAAAGATAAACATTTAATAATTAGCAGAGTTTATTGAGTTTCTACTACATTTAAATTATTAAGCCGAATCTTAGATTTATAAAATGTTAAAGTGTGAAGGTTATACTAATATAAGATTTTACATATTTATTAAATAGGTCAAG